CCCCCCAATTGAGAATGGCAACCAGATGGCAGGGGCGGCAGGGTTGGTTTTCACTTGGGATGCACCGATACCGGTATTTTGGTACCGAGTACCGATAATTGTTTTTGTCTGGAGCGCCTGGCTTCCTGATTAGCCGGGAAGCCGGGCAGCGCGTAAAGACTCACCACCCGGCTTCCCGATTAACAAGAAAGTCCCCTCTTACCTTAGTATGTGCAGTCTGTCACCCCCGAGGCCTCTCCAGCCAGAAAGCGGCCTTCCTCCGGTACCCAGCCGGAGCTGTCTGGCCAATGAGAAAGCCGGGCGCCGTGTAATGACGCGACACCCTGCTTTCTGATTGGCCGGGAGGACGGCTCCATGCTCCCTCGTCATGAGATGACGAGGGAGCATGAAGCCAGCTTCCCGGCCAATCAGAATGCCGGGCGCTGCGTCATTACACAGCATCCGGCTTCCCGACCAATCAGGAAGCGCGTCATTACCCCCTGCCCGGCTTCCTGATTGGCCGGGAAGTCGGCTCCATGCTCTCTCATCATAAGTGACGAGAGAGCATGGAGCTGCTTCCCGGCCAATCAGGAAACCGGGCAGCGTGTAATGACGCGTTGCCTGGCTTCCTGATACAGATAGTACTCGTGCTAGTCATCGGAGCATTTGGGCGAGTACGAGTACTCGCCCAAATACTCGGTATCGGCACCGATATCGATACTAGAATCGGTATCGGTGCATCCCCAGTTCATTTTAAAAAAAATCTTATCTTTGTTTATTATTTTTTATCAATTAAAATTTTTACATTTTTTTTTCTTTCTTGACTTAACTTTATTGCCATCACACAGGGGATAACAAGCCCCTGTGTGATAGCATTTGGAGGTGACAGCTTCTCCTTATTGAACCCGTCACTTCCAATACAGGAGCTCTAGCACAGCACTGTGCTAGAACGTCAGTGACAGCTGAGATGGCAAGGTTGCGAGTGCAGCTCTCCCCTCTCAGTGTTCACACGGAGCAGAGCGGGGAACAGACGTTCTCCGCTCTGAATGGGCCCTGGTGCCGGGTCCCCCAGAGGAGCAGGGGTCCCCGAAAACCACGGTGGGAAAGGAGGTGGGGAGAGGCAGCCAGGTGAGGTGGGGGCAGACCATGGAGGAGGGTGGCGTCAGAGCTGCACAGATATTACAAGTGATCTCAGCGACATTTCCCGGATAAATGTAGAGCGGGGAAGCCAATTTTTTTTTTTTTTTAGTACAAGTGATCTCTACATTTAGTTCTATTTGCCTGAAGCAGGGCTAAATGTAGAAACAAAAAAACACTACCAGCCCGAGGGCTGTGCCGCCCCTCTGTTCACTGACCTTGTGGGAAATCCGGCCCTGTGTACACAATACATTGCCAGTGTCACCATTACACAATCACGTGTACAGTTGCCTACCCTTGGCAATCATACGAATATTCATGATGGAACCCTGTTAGAGGAAGCTAATGATGACCTCATATTTCTAACCCTGAATTGAAACCAAGCTGGGTGCAGCCATGTTGGATACATTGTCAACAGCGCCAGCAGATTTGGAGTCGTCACTTAAAAGGAGTGATTTTCAATCAGCCTCATAATCTGAGCCGACCTGTGACAATGAGACTGTCACAGGTCGGCTCTGTAGATCGGGAAGTGAGCGAACACATACCGGCGTTCGCTCACTTCTCGATCCTGTGTCGGCAGAGAGCCGTGACAGGGGAGGGACTGGATTCCCCCCTTCCTTGTCAGATCCTCCAGCGCTGACTGGCGGTACGGACGGGGGAGGGGGCGGGTACAGCTGGCTCTGCCTTTAGATAGGCAGAGCCAGCTGTCACTCACGCAGCTGGGTGGATCCAGACAGAATTGTCAGGATCCGTTCCGACTGCGGCTTCCCAGTATACCGCGAGCTGCAGCTCACCATATACTGAGCTTTGGGTGATGGGAGGACGCTAGTTTGTGTCCTCCCGTTACCCTAAGGAGAACTATGGGGAAAAACACTGACCCCATAGTTCTCCTTTAAGTAACACTCTATAGCAGGGGTGTGGAACCTCCGGCCTTCCAGCCGTGGTGCAACTACAAATCCCATGATGCATCTGTCTCTGGGAGTCATGCCTATGCCTGTCAGTCTTGCAATGCTTCAAGGGATTTGTAGTTTCACCACAGCCGGAGGTTCCCCACCCCTGCTCTATAGCAAGGGTAGGCAACCTCGACCCTCCAGCTATGCTGAAACTACAAACCCCATGAGGCACTGCAAGACTGACAGGCATGGGCATGACTCCCAGAGGCATGATGGAATTTGTGTTTTCACCACAGCTGAAGTGCTGAGGTTGCCTACCCATGCACTATAGTATTCCCCTACATTATTTCCAAGCCAGAATTAAAACCAAGCCCAAAAGGTAGCCATAAATCACCACTCTGGGCAGCAGCAAAAAAAAAAAAAGAAAAGACCCTTGCAGTGGGCATTTGCATCCTGATAGGTGGAGAGATTAGCTCATTGCTCTGCGGCTTCTCCTGCTATTGTCCCGTCACCAGCTGAGAGGGTTAATGTGAGCCTGGGCGTACAGGAAGATGAATGGTGCTGGGTGACTGAGGACATCTAGTGGTGGAAAAGAAGTACTGCAGAGGACAGGGCTGGATTGATCTGCCATCCATAGAAGTAATATAATAGGATCAATATACAGAAATGGGGACATGGCCAACAGCAACCAATTATTTTTCAGCACTGTGCAGTCTCAACAGTTCTAATTTTCATAGAGCAGCCCCGCTGTGTGACAATAATGTAAATGAACCTATGCTTAGCCCACACAGGATTACCAAACCCGCCACCATTTATTGTTACCAAACTGCCACCCTTCCTTGCTGCCCATGCTCACCTTCCCTTGCTTCCCCACACCACTCCTTTCAGGCCATTGGTACTACACAGAGAAGTCCCATAAAAGCTGCAGGTGATGAGGACTCTCTCCCCACACATGTGACAGACCCGGGTTCCTAAGCAGCTAATCATCATGCACAGCACGGTCATATGGGAGAAAGTCACATGATTCCAATACCTGGGAAAAATAGGTAGGCTCAATGTGCAGCCAGGGAGGGAGGCAGTTAAAGCTAAACATTAATCCCCCCCCCCCCCACCTTCACAAAACATCGA